GGGCAGCGGCCACCTGAGCCATCAAGGCCACCGCCAGGGTTTCTGGCTCAACTGGGCCCGCGTGAGCCTGAAGGGCCTCCGCCGAGTCGGTTGCAAAGGCCTCCTGAAGCGAAAGGGCTACCTCCACAGCGATCACAACAGCAGTTCTTGAAATCAGAGGATCTGCCTGGCGTTCGCGTGTGGAGGGTGGGAGCTGATCATATTCCTCACGAAATTTGGTTGGAGCAAGTGCCGGTGTGCACTGGTCGTTTCATCTAAATTGACTGGCACCAGGTGACTGACACTTGCCGATATTCAGCCAGGAAGTTTGTGAAGGCATCTGACAGCGGACAAGTCCCACGGGACGTGGCTTCTCTATACGCTAAGGTGCATCGACGGAAGAGGCCGATCGATTATCTCATAACTTTGAGCCATATCGAGAGATCCGAAGGTAACTTGCATCGTGTCCTTCAAGGAACTCGTCAATCTCAATTGCCTGTGGATTTTATCTTCGTCACAGAGCGTAGCTGTGGGGCAGGAGGGAAGACAGAGGTTGCGCAAAATTTGTTGCACAGTCTTAACTTGAAAGACTGGGCTTGCCTTTTCGACGATAAGGCTGAGGAATTCTGCGAGGCAGGCGGAACTCTATTTCACGTCAAGAAACCTAGTCGGAGAGGTGCAGTTCCTCGATAGTGTGAGACGCACAAAGATCGGTGCAAATCAGCTTGGAACGCAGCTCAGCATATTTTTGACTTCAATCGGTTCATTGCCCAAGGGAGGTAGTGTTTGCCTGGCTGCTTTTAAGCGCCGCAGGATTTCAAGCATCCTTTTTCGAAGTCATCAGTGCTTGCAGTGCATTTGACAATCCATTTTGTTTTGAGTATCACAGTGCGCAGATTTAATTCAATTGCTTCGGAGGTAGTGGATTTCAGGTGAGCAGCCCAAGTGATCAGGCCGAGTGTCACTGCTTTGTGTCACCGCGTCTTGCAAGCTGTTTCATCGCAAAGAAGTTTCACTGCGTCATCTTTGAATTCATTTTCTTCTTTTCATTGGCGTGCACGGCACGTGGAGTTTCACTGCGGTAGAAGTTTCACTGCGTCAATATTGATTTCATTGGATTGTCATTGCAACTGCATTTGATTGGCACTTTGCCATTGCAGTCTCATTTCTTGGCACTTTGCCATTGTATCTTTGCATCCGTGCCTCTCAGTGACCGGCCGCGGCCACGCGCCTCCTGAGTAGTACCGACCTTTTGGATTTTTGTCCTTTGTCATTCTCAACTTCCATAATTCATGTCAAGTTCAGATCCTACATCGAATCTTGAAAATTTGAATATCAGTAGTGAGTCAATGGATGTCCCAGCTGTTGTTGGTGAAGCATCTCAAAGATCCAGCAGAAGCGCGTCGTCGACTCCCCGGCGTGCCCGTTCCAAAACAACCCAGGGTGGTGGGTCAGGAAGAAAGCCAGTGTCCACTATCATGAAGGCGTTGCCCAAAGCATCCCAAAGTCGTGGTCCTTCTCCATCCCACCGGGGTCAGGGTTCGTTTGATGTCCCAGTTGAAGTTCATCATCATCAGGAATTCCATGTCTATGATGACAGAACCCAAACGGTCACGATGGGTGTTGATCCTGTTGAGTATGGTAGAATGGTAGGCGAAGCCCAAAGACTTTTGATGAGTCCAAGAGCCGAGCCGATCATTTTGAGGGTTTATCAAAAGAAATTTACTCTTAAGCCTGCCAACAAGTTCAACAACTTATGATGATTGCCTAACAACTTCACCAGTCTTGTAGTGAGAAAGATGAGTCTTTGCAGAAGCTGTCTTTCGAAGTTTAGAGGGTGAAGGTTCAACTGCAGGATCAGATTTCACCCAATTATGATGTGATGGCGCAGTTTGATTCAGCAAAGTCCCAAACCCAGAGACTTTTAGGCCACAAAGATTCTGAAATCTCCCGATTGATGTCCGAAGTGTCCAATTTGAGTTCTGACAAGACCCGGCTTGAGGAGAGACTGGCAGCTTTAAGCGCCGCTCCCTCATCCGGACCAGCTCCAATGCAGGCGCCGAGGAATTCTGGTGAAGCTGAGTCGCATGGCCTTTCGTTGCATGATGTTCAAGCTGCAGTGTCATCTCAATTTGCACCTGTTTTAGAATGTGGGATGCACTAGCTAAATTAAACCAGGTGGACACTGAATTAGGTTTAATTTTTTTGGTTTAATTTAAAAAATCTTACGAAAACAGGGGGTCCACCCACCTCCTTAAGATCCTGAAGAAAATTGAGTTGGTTTAATTTTGAGATGTGACCCACCCCATGGTTTAATTTCAGCTGTTTTAGCTCATTGTACTGCCTCGTGTTCCGCCTCGGGATACTGCAGCCATGGTTCCTGACACGTGTCCTAGCACAGCTCCGTGAAGACGATCCGGCGTGGACAGCAAGGTTCTTGCATTTCTTGCACAATTGGGAACAGTATTGCTGCAGCCCAAATGCTCCATCTCAAGCAGAGCAAATCCATGGGAAAGGCGCTGCGGGACCATGGTAAATTGTTTCTATTTGTTTCGGGCCCCTTGCGTGATCCCAGATCAGTGTCCTGATAAATGAATGTTTAGTACGTATGGATTCACCCACCCCTTGATTAATTATTCTGACCTGATCTGGGATCACGCAAGGGGCCCGAAACAGATAGAAACAATTTACCATGGTCCCGCAGCGCCTTTCCCATGGACTTGCTCTGCTTGAGATGGAGCATTTGGGCTGCAACAATGTTGTTCCCAACTGTGCAAGAAATGCAAGAACCTTGCTGTCCACGCCGGATCGTCTTCACGGAGCTGTGCTAGGACACGTGTCAGGAACCATGGCTGCAGTATCCCGAGGCGGAATACGAGGTAGTATAATGAGCTAAAACAGCTGAAATTAAACCATGGGGTTTAATTTTGAGAAAGTTGAGTTGGTCCACATACCTGGGGGGGAAAAATGGTGGGCACAATTGTTTTTACACCAAATCTCACTGGCATGTGTAGAACGAGGTGGTTTAATATTTGGTCTTGGCAAAACAAAATCAACCCAATGATCTTGTAAAATTAAACCAGGTACTGCCGAGTAGCTTGTTTAATTTT